AGAATGACACCATGTTCTCCTGGTTTTGGCTTCATGTCACTACCCCGTCCTCAGGCTTCTCCTTTCCTGGATGCTTCTCAACCTCTTCCTTTTTTTTTAATTTAATTTAAATTTTTTTTTTTTGATTTTTTACAGAGAGGAGGAGAGAGGGATAGAGAGCTAGAAACGTCGATGAGAGAGAAACAGCAACCAGCTGCCTCATGCACACACCCTACCGGGGATGTGCCCACAACCAATGCACATGCCCTTGACCGGAATCGAACCAGGGACCCCTCAGTCCGCAGACCAACGCTCCACCACTGAGCCAAACCGGTTTTGGCTCAACCTCTTTCCTCTTAATACTGGAATGTTACAAGATTTGGTCCCTGGGTCTCTAACTTAATCCACCACCTTCAAAGTTCAGAAAAATATAAAAGGGAAAAGAAACCAAAAAACAGAACAATAGAAAGCCAAATAAAACAAAACAAAACATATTAATAATTGTTCTAAATGTACTTAGTTCTCTTATTAAAAACTGGGATTGTCAAATTGGATTAAAAACAAAAACAAAAACCGGGATGAGGATGGGGGGTAATGCAAGGATTCTTTAGTTATTGATGTTTCTATCTCCTTCTCCCTCTCCCTTCCTCTCTGAAATCAATAAAAAATATATATTTTTTAAAGAAAAGTCGTGAAAGTCCGGCCTGCGTGGCTCAGTGGTTGAGCATCAACCTATAAACCAGGAGGACACTGTTCGATTCCCGGCTGGGGCATATGCTTGTGTTGTGGGCTCCATCCCCAGTGTGGAGTGCGCAGGAAGTAGCTAATCAATGATTCTTATCATTGATGTTTTTATCTCTCTCCCTCTCTCTCTCTGAAATCAATAAAAATATATTTTTAAAGTGAAATATATAGAATATTTTGAACAGCATAATTAGTAGGTTAGCCTAATAGAAATAGATAGAAATTTATTTTTTTAAATGGATTATAAACATTTTAAGCATACATGGAACATTTATTTTAAAATGATCACATGTGAAATAATAAAGTTAGCTCCACAAATCTTTAAATGCAATTAAGTTAGAAATCAAAATGGTGTTGGGAAAATTGGACAGACACTTGCAAAAGAATGAAACTAGATCACCAACTTACACCATTCACAAAAATAAACTCAAAATGGATACAGGACTTAAACATCAGATGGGAAACCATAAAAATACTAGAAGCATCCACAGGCAGCAAAATCTCAGACGTATGCCAAAAGAACTTCTTCACTGATACTACCCCTAGGGCAATGGAAGCTAAAGAGAAAATAAACAAATGGGACTACATCAAAATAAAAAGCTTTTTTATAGCAAAAGAAACCATCAACAAAACAACAAGAAAGCCCACTGTGTGGGAGAACATATTTGCAAATGATACCACTGATAAAGGTTTAATCTCCAACATCTACAAACAGCTTATACAACTAAATAAAAGGAAGATGAATAATCCAATTAAAAAATGGGCAATGGACCTAAATAGAACATTTTCAAAAGAAGACGGAAGGCCAAAAGGCACATGAAAACATGCTCAAAGTCACTAATTGTCCGAGAAATGCAAATCAAAACAACAATGCGGTACCATCTCACACCTGTCAGAATGGCCAACATCAACAAGTCAACAAACGACAAGTGTTGGCGAGGTTGCGAAGAAAAAGGAATCCTCGTGCACTGCTGGTGGGAATGCAGACTGGTGCAACCACTGTGGAGAACAGTGTGGAGTTTCCTCAAAAAACTGAAAATGGAACTCCCATTTGACCCACTAATCCCACTTCTAGGAATATATCCCAAGAAACTAGAAACACCAATCAGAAAGGATATATGCACCCCTATGTTCATAGCAGCACAATCTACAATAGCCAGAATTTGGAAACAGCCTAGGTGCCCGTCAGCAGATGATTGGATCCAAAAACTATGGTACATCTACACAATGGAATACTATGCTGCCATAAAAAAGAAGGAATTTTCATCATTTGCAGCAACCTGGATGGAATTGGAGAACATCATGCTGAGTGAAATAAGCCAATCAATGAAAGAGAAACACCACATGACCTCACTCATTTGTGGATGATAAAGAACATTATAAACTGATGAACCAAAAGATAGAAATAGAGACAGTATATCAACAAGTAGACTGTCAAATTACAGCAGGGAGGGGAGGAAGATCTGGGAGAGATAATAGATCAACTAAAGGACTTTTATACTTGCATATAAGTACAACCAATGGACACAAAACTCTGGGGAGGGAGGGGATGTGTGGGAGGGAAGGAGGGGGGCAAAAAAAAATCAATAAAATATATTAATAAAATAAAATAAATGCAATTAAGTTAGAAATCAGTTACAAAAAAGGTAACTAAGGGAGAAAACATATCTTTGGAATTTTTAGAAATGCACTTAACTTTTGGGTCAAAGAGAAAATAATGTAAAAATTAGAAAATACTTAGAAATGGCAATGAGAATACTGTATCAAAATATGGGATGCTGATAAAGGAGTATTTTGAAGGAAATCTATAGCAGTATTGTTTACTGCTATAGATTTAGGAAATAACTGAGGCTCAAAATAGTGAGCTAAGATGTTGGAAAAACAGAATAAACCTAAAGAAAAATTATAAGGATTACTAAAGAGCAGAAATTAATAAAGTAGAAAAATATTAATTAGAGAAGATCAACAAAGCCAGAAGTTAGCTATTTGAAACTACTAGTGAAATAGATTGACTTCTACCAACAGTAACCAAGAACAAGAAAGAGAATGTACAATATTAAGAATGATAAGGGCCGAGACCGGTTTGGCTCAATGGATAGAGCGTCGGCTTGGGGACTGAAAGGTCCTGGGTTTGATTCCGGTCAAGGGCATGTACCTTGGTTGCGGGCATATCCCCAGTAGGGGGTGTGCAAGAGGCGGCTGATCGATGACTCTCTCTCATCGATGTTTCTAGCTCTCTATCTCTCTCCCTTCCTCTCTGTACAAAATCAATAAAATATATTTAAAATTTTTAAAAAAAAGAATGATAAGGGAACCATATCTAAATAGCTAAGTGGACTAACTAGATTAACTAGATAAATAATATAACTTTATGTCATAAATATAAAAAATGAAATGAATAGATTTCTAGAAAAATACAATTTACCAAAACTGGCTAAAAAGAAATAAAGATCCTGAGAATCCTATAACTTGAACCTAAAACTGCTCTAAGAAAAATAATGTCTTTAATTAAAAAAAAAAAATCCACCCTAGCTGGTTTGGCTCAGTGGATAGAGCATTGGCCTGCGGACCAAAGGGTCCTGGGTTCAATTCCATTAAGAGCACATACCGTGGTTGGGTTGCAGGCTCCTCCCTGGCCCAGGCCCTGGTCAGGGATCATGCAGGAGGCAACCAATCAGTGTTTCTCTCACATCAATGTTTCTCTCTGTTTTTCCCTCTCTCTTCTACTCTCCCTAAAAATCAATGGGGAAATATCCTCAAATGTACATTAACACACACACACACACACACACACACACAATTTTTTTTTTTTAAATCCCATAACTGTCAAAGAATTTAAATCAGCTTAAACTCCCACAAAGCAAGTATCAGGTTCAGATGGTTTCACCAATGAGTCAATAGAAAAAAATGGGTAATTGAACTGTGGTAGAATCATACAACACAGCAATGGAAATAAACTATAGCTGCCTACATCCACATGTTTGGTTCACAAAACAATGTTGCGTGAAAGAAGCAGTCACAAAAGAATTCATATACTATCATTCCATTTATATAACATTTAAAAAATAAATGCACAGAAATACATAAATGTAGCCCTGGCCAGTGTGGCTATCAGTTGGTTGAGTATTGTCCCGATTGATGTTTCTCACATTGATGTTTATCTCTCTTTCCCTCTCCCTTGCTGTCTCTCTACAATCAATAAAAACATATTTTAATAAAAATATATACATGAATTTGTAACTCTAAAGAAAAGCAAGAAAATAATTACCATAAAATTTAGATAGTGTTTACCTGGAATTGGGGATGGAATCTGTGAGGAACAGAGGGGCTTCTGTAGGGCTAGAAATAATCCTATTTTATAATATGAGTGTTGGATACAGAGGGGTGCTTTTTTATCATTCCTCTTTAGATTCATACCTAGGTATATACTCTGGAGAAATTCTTGAATTTGCCAAAAATATTTATCTAGATAATATATATACTCTTTTATGTATATGATATACATATATGTATATACATACTCTTGTATATGTGATATCTTTTTTAATTTAAAGGTTATTATCCTATACAGATAACTAAAAAAGAATGATATATATATATATATATATATATATATATATATATATATATATACACATATATATATGTGACATGGGAAAAATATCCAATGCATATTCAGTAACAAGCATGTTAAGGAACTCAACAGTGTAATCTCATTTTAATAAAAATAGTAATGTGTCCATTGAAATAAATTTGAACAATATACACTAAAGTGTGAACACTGGTTATCTCTAGAATGGTTTCCATTTCAAAATTATACAGTTCTGTAGTATTTCAATATTTCTTTAGTAATCTCATTTACTTTTGTGGTTAAAAAAAATAACATTGTGTTTTTATTGATTTTGGATAGAGAGGAAGGGATAGGGATAGAGATAGAAACATCATCTATTGGCTGCCCCTGCACATCCTCTACTGGGAATCAAGCTGCAACCTAGGCATGTGCCCTGACCGGGAATCAAACCAGTGAATTCTTAGTTCATGAGTAGACACTCAACTGCTGAGTTATACTGGTTGGGCAAGAACATTATTTTTTTTTAAAATATATTTTTATTGATTTCAGAGAGGGAAAGAGAGATAGAAACATCAATGATGAAAGAGAATAATTGATCGGCTGCCTCCTATACACCCCACACTGGGGATTGAGCCAGCAACCTGGGCATTGCCCTGACCGAGAATCGAACTGTGACTTCCTGATTCATAAGTTGAGGCTCAACCACTGAGCCATGCAGGCTGGGTGAGAACATTGTTTTTATATGTGAAAAAAATCTGTTTTAAATAGAAGGAGGAATACTCAATTTAGAGGGACTTTGTTTCTCTTTTTTCAAGAATTCCCTGACAACCCACCAATTCTATAAAAGAGAATCTGTGAGGACAGGAAGTTCGAAATGGGAAGGGCTTCTGCACTCAGGTCCCTTTAATGGGGTTGAGTGTGAATGGGGCCTGGTCAGGTCCTCCAGCTTACCAGCCTCTCCTAACCACAAAGCAAACCTGCTTGTTCCTGACACTCTCCACCCCAGCTCAGGAAGGTGACTGAGGTCTTGGCCAGCTGCCTTCCAGTCTTGACCCATTGTTCCAGGTTCCCAACTGACTGAGCCTCTGACAGTTAAGCCAAAGGCCAACAATATCCTGACTTCCTGAGTAAACACCTGTGAACTGAGAGGACGTGGTGGGGTCAGAGCAAGTGTTCAGGACAGAGTAGGGGCAAAGAACAGAGCAAAGCCTTGACAGGGCATAAGAAAAGCCCAGGAGATCTTATTCTGGGCCAGTCATTAAATTTCTCTGGAACCCCAGAATTTCCATTGCAAGGGGTAGGTAGGCTCTTGGGCTCTGACAGGCATGGAAAGGAGGGTGTTCTTTGGCCCAAAATAGAGTTCAGCTTATGGGGAGAGGCAGGGGGTATTCCAGGCTTTGCACATGTTGTGCCATCAGCTTGTCCTGGCTAGCTTCTATTCATTTTTCAGATTTCAAATTATAGACCACTCCCTCTTAGAAGCCTTCCCCAACTCCCACAACCCCACCTTTACTTCCTCCAAGGACTTAAAGGCCTCTGCTCACACCCTCCCCCTCTCCCCCCACTGTGCTTTCCCTTACCCAGCACTGTCCCACTCTAACAGTTACCTGTTTGTCTTTCCCTCTGGAATTTTAACTTCCTGAGGTCAGGGACCATGATTATACAGTTATACTGTATCTCTAGTACCTAGATATTCCAAGGGTACTCAGAAAATGTGGAGTGTGTTGTGTTTTGTTTTGTTTGTTTTCAATTTGACTTGAGAGAGAGATTTATTGTTCTACTTGTTTATTCATTCGTTGGTTGCTTCATATGTATGCCTTGACCAGATAGCAAACCTGCAACCTTTGCATATTGGGATGCTGCTGTAACCAATTGAGCTACCTGGCCAGGGCAGAAAATGTTTTGATAATGAGTGAATATAATGAAGGACTGGCAGAGAGGGCAAGTGATAGAATCCTTCCACTTGTCTGGAGTGTGGTTCTCAGCAGCCTAGGAAAGAGCCTCCAAAAGCAAAGGAAAGTTTCAGGGAAATTTATCCTCCCTTTTCTCCTCCCCTCTCCTCTCCATTCTTCTGACATTGCACCCCTCCCTTCCCCACCTCCCAACTCCACATCCAGTTTTGTGTGAGCTTGAGCTCCCTCTACTGGCCACACTTTAGTGGCCCCAGGGAGCCAAGCCCAGGTAACCTCATTTTTTTTTTTTTTTTCTTCCCTCTATGCACTTCTGGACTCTGGGGTTCATGAGAGATTGGAGCATGTAGAGAATACAGGCTAGTCAACACACTGGAGGTTTCTTAGGTCTGAGCTCTCTTTCCCACCCCCATTCTGATTCTCGACACCAAGGGGACTTCCCTCACAACCTCACCTCGTGCTCAGTTTCCTGGAGTCTCCACTCACAGATTTCTACTCCAGCTAATTCACAGAAATGTTGATTTCCGGAGCCTTTGGTTGATACATCAGCTCTGACTGTGGAACAGAGATCGCAATATGAGTTGGGAATAAACAAATAGACAGAGACAACAGAAAGAAAGGGACCCTGAGAGTGAAAGGATATAAACCCACAATGAGACAAACAAAAAGATCAGGGTTGTATCCCCTGCCCTTTCCATCCTCATGGGCTTATAAACCAGGGTCCTGCCTTAAGAGGGAAGATTTCCCTCACCTCTTCAATGTGCCTATGTCAATACAGAGCTAAGGGGGGTGACTGTATTGACCAGATATTAGACTTTAGGGACAATCCTGGACGACAGTGCTTCCCCCACCCCTGTTCCCTTCTCCTGAGAGGGCCCATCCTGGAGCTCACATCTTCACTGTCACTTCCACTGAACGAGTACTCTGGCTCCAGCCCCTTCTCTGGGGTGCTCCTTTCCTTCTCTGGCATCAGCTCATCAAGCCAGAGAAGTTCTTGTGGTGAGAAGACCCACTCCAGTGCCTTTCGGACCCCCACCAGGCCCAGCAACTGCAGGGATACAAACAAAACTCAGCGCTGTCAGCAACAACAGGAGGAACATGAACAACAGTAACAGTTATTCAGCATTTCCAATGTGCTCAGCATTGTGTATTGTTTCACAGAAAGCTAAGACATTCCTAGGAGTAGATATAATAATTGCTCTGCCATTGTGCAGAGAAGGAAACTGAGCCCTGAAAGTTTAGAAACTTGTAATCAGATTGGTCCTACTGCAAAGACCGTGGCTCTTAACTTCCTCAGTGAGTAGCAAGGCCAGAACTGCCTATTTTATCACCTCACCATGTAACAAAAGCAATAGCATTTCCTTTCCCAGGGCCTCAGGATTTTTCTGGGCTTTCTATCCCTCCCTGTGGTTGATAAGCCCAAAGAGGTTGGAAAAGGAGTTGAATCAGGGATCCCAGGACTAGCCCATCTATTGGCATCCCTCAGCCGTCTTTATTTGTCCTAGGATTTTCAATCAATCAGGCATGGTCAGGGGAAAAGGAAAGAGGGAAGAGTCTTCCTCTTATGGAAGCCTTGGCCACGCCCTCCCAGGCTCAGAGTCTCTCAGGAACCCCCCAGGATGCCGCCCAACCCTGAGTCACCATGATGGGAAAGATGATGGCTGCAGGTGTAGACTTGACTATCCAGAGCAGACCCAGGCAGGCAAGCTGGATGGCTGTGAAGAGGTGGACCCTGCTCAGAGGCACATGCCTCAAAAGCAGGAGGTCTGGCTGGTGCTTTGCTGGCATCAATAATAGCTGCACCCTCTTGGTAAACTGGGGGAACAAGAGGAGAGAGAGCAGAGTGTTTAGGTAGCCTGGAGAGTGTCACTGTTAGCCAGTAAAGCTCAGCACTGGGGCAGTCAGAAGACTCCCTTGGCCCCCTCCTCACCCAGGGCATGGCAGCGGAATCCCTCTGCCCAGAAGAAACAGGAAAAGAGGCCGGGGGGTTGGGGGGGGAAGAGGGGAGATTGGAAAGTACAGGCAAGAAGTACCAGTAGGAAAGGAAAGGAGGAGTGGGGTTTCCTGGCGATTTTAATGGGCTCACCTGGATGCTGCTAATTGCCGCCACCCCCATGTATAGGAAGATGCCATAGAGCACAGGCATTGGGATGAACTGGTAGAAAGAAATGGAGAGCCAGCAAAGGAGTTGACCTCTGCCAGCACCCAGGTGTCCCCTTAGGCTCCCACCCCAGCCTCTAGCACCAGCATCTAAGCCTACCCAGGTTTATCTCTTCCTTTCCCACTTTGCGTGCCTGCTTTCATTGAATCTTCACGTACGTCAGATGAGGTAAATTCTGGAATTGTCTCCATTTTACAGATGGGAAAATTGGGTTTCAGAGAGACTTGGTAACTTACCCCTTATCTAGCTGACTCCCCACTCTTATCCATCACTTTCCTCTCTGCTTTCTCTGTTCCTGCTTACACTGACGTCCTTTCCTTCCCTCAACATGCTCACATTTATTTCTACCCCTTGCAAGGCCCTTTGCTTTGCTATTTTCCTTCACCTAAAATGTCCTGAATTCCTTCTCACTAGTCATGACCCACCAGAAAGGTCTTCCCTGGTCATTTAAAGTAGAGCCCTGGCTCGAAATCACCTTATTCTCTTTTACTTCTCATAGAAGTGATCGCTATCTGAAATTATCCTGTTTTGTTGTTGTTGTTTTTCACGTCTCCTCTCACCAGACTGCAAGGATTGGCTGATCTCTTTTGATCACCACAATATCTTCAGTCCTGAGACTGTGCTTGACATATGGTTTATGCTCAGTAAATAGCTGCTGAATGAGAGTCACCTGGTTAGTAAGCTGCTGGTCTGGTCCTTCTGGTTCTTTCAACTACTCCACTCTCACCCAGCCTCGGTGACCTTTCCCTTCCCTAACCTCTTGTGGGCCTGCCAGTGACTCTGTGGGCCAGCCTCCACACCCTCTTGGCTGCTTTGCTGTCTTGGCTTGTTGAACCTTCCTGCTATTACTCGTTAACTTTTGTTTGTGAGTGGGTGTTGCTGACAGGTGCTTGGTTCTACATTCCTTTTCAATTCTCTCCTCTCCCCGCCTTCTCCCAGGTGCCTAGCAGAGCCTTGCACACAGAGGTGTTCTTTAAATAATATGGTTCTGATGAGGAAGAAGTGAAGTGCTTTTGCCTCAAAGTTTTTGTGAGGTATGATGATCATACTCTGAATCTAAGGCTTGTTGGGAGGCTGGAGCAAGGGCAGTGCTTGGCCTTTGTGTGTGTGGGGGGGGGGGGGCAGGGGGTTTTCGGGCATTCCTACACCCTGTACACTGGGTAGAAAGCCTACTTGGTAAGAGTTTGGGTTCTCAGATTCTTAGAAACTACCGTAGTTTCTCATTTGTAAAGGGCACATGCATCTCAGGGCTAATGTGAGGATTGAATGAGGCCAGGTATGGAGAAACATGCGCTAAGTGTTCAGCAAATGTCAGTTCTTGTGTTTATTATCACTACCCTGCCCCTGACGCCAGCCTGCCTAACAAATGTACCTTGAGTATAGGTGCCAGGAAGATGGAGATTCCTGTAAGGATGAACACCACCAGGCCTGTCAGCCTCTGCTCCCTGTGGGGGGAGGGCAGAGTTAGCCAGGGTCTGGGGGAGCCCCTGGGGTGCCCGGGCTGGAGACCCAAGCCAGACATCACTATAGACCCTGGGAGGAGGGAAATGGAGGGATCCTCCAACTATCACCTTAGCTTGGTGTGAAAAACTGGAGAGGAAGGGGCAGGGCACTGCAGAGTGGGGGCCTCGGGCCTCTCCATCAGTTGAAGCTCATAGTTGCTCTTTCTTTCTTTTTTTGTTTTGTTGAAAAATTAGCAATTTTTACACAGCCACAAAGACTTTCATTTCAGTTTACAAAGTCAATTTCACAGACTTTGGACAGATTGTGTTTCCAGCAGTTACAAAATTGTTTTTGTGGTGTTTTACCTTATAACATCAATGCGGTGCCTCCACATTGAGCGGGTTTATTAGGTGGCACCTCTCCCTTGCTCAGCCCTGACTGCCTCCCCGCTTACTTCAATGACGCTCCTCTTGAGGGCCCTCCCAGTCCCATGGCTGAAGGAGGAGAGGGAAGATCTGACACACCCATCTCAGAGCCCATTCACCCCTCCCCATTCACCCCACTGCAATGATCATGGGGCAGTGAGAGAGCCCTCTGGAGTTACTAGCTTAGAATTTAAGCTGCCCAAATAACTGCCTTGTCCCCTGCTACCCACCTCTCATTCCAGCCTCCTGAATCCTGGCCTCACCTGATGCCCAGGAAGCTGGGGGGCTCCCCCAGAGCACAGGCTCTGCTCTCTCTCCGAAGACTGTCCATGTGGGCCAGGGAGATGACAGTGGCTGAGACATACCAGGGGAGCCCAAGCACTGAAGTGAGCAGCATCAGCAAAGCCACACAGAAGAGGTCCAGGTGGAAGCCAGCTCCCTTCTGCAGGTAATGGTGGGGAACTGGGATGAAACTAGCCCTCTGGGGTGGGAGAGGGGAAGCCTGGAACCCACCCTGGGCTTCTGTCCCTTGGTGCAGGGGTCTAGGGTGCTCCTGGGAGGCCTCACCCGCAGTCTGTATTCGGCACGATTGAGAATGACCGCTGTGATCTGCTGGTCCATGAAGATGAGAATAGACAGCAGCAGGGCAGGCAGAGCGGCTGCCACACTCAGCCACCAGGGGTTGGTTCCAAAAGGTGACACCAGCCAGTCACGCCCAGGTAGTGTGGGCTGCGGGAGGACATTCCGTGGACATATCGGAGAGGGTCTCCCAAGAGCACCTCCCCTGTACACTCCAGCCTTGGCATTCTTCCACAATTTCCCTTACCACTGCCCCTCCCCACCAAGGCCCTGGATGCTATATGGGAGCAGTGTGTGTGCGTGCACAGCTGGTTCAAAGCATCCCAGTATTTTAAAAGAGGGCAGGAAGAGGGGAACCAGCTAGGGGGTTGGGCTGGAGCCAGGGGCTCTAGACTTTGGTTCTCTTGGGCCCTCCCTCTTTGCAAGAGGAGGAGGGGGTAGATTAGACCTGCCCATACTTCTTAGTGTACAGAGCTCTCCTCCCTGGGCACCCCCTCTCAGCATCCAGGGTGGGGCAGCTCAGGCTCAGACCTGCCTTGATCTGGGGCAGGGGCAGGGCTGGGTGTGCCTGCGTCTGCTCTGATTATAAGCGTCTGGGTGAGGGCCAGGGCCCCAGATGTTGTCTTGGGTTCTGAGTCCCTGAGGCTGCCTCTGTTGGAGTCCCCCTGCTGTCTTGTCTTAGGGGAAGCTGGAAGGGCAGTCTCCAAACGCACAAAGTGTAGGTGCCAAGGTGCTAAGCCCTGATCTGTGCACTGTTTTGCCTAGAGAGGGAGCCCCAACTTTACTGGATCAGGGCAGGCAACACGGGGTGAAAAGAGACAGTGTGGGATAGTGGAATGGGTAGGATGTGCCCAGGGTAGGGGAAACCATGACAATAACTACCATTTAGTGAGGTCGTGGTATGTGTCAGTCCCAGCATTGTGATAAGTGCTTTACACTATTGTCTGTAAACCTCAGACACCTATAAGTAGGAACTATTGTTATTTATTTCCATTTTATAAATGAATAAATTGAAGATCAGAAATGTGGGTTAACTTGCCTAAGGTCACACAGCTAAGAAGTGGCAGAACTGGTACTCAAACCCAGGCCAACTGCCTGGAAGGAACCCATCCTCTTAACTCCATACTATAATAATAGCTCCTGAGTATTCTGTGCTTATTATGTGTCTGGAGCAGCATCTCATTCATCCTCACAACTCTGTGAGGCCATTATTATTACTATTTCTATTTGACAAGTGGGCAAACAGGATCTTAGAGGAGGTGGAATGTAGAATTTATTCATCTTCCCCCTCCAAGGTCCTGTCTGCTGGCCCTGTTTTCCCCTCTCCCAGCTCTCACCTTGAACTCTCTGGGCACCGTGAGCTTTGGCGTGGCCAGGCCCAGGAAGGCATCAAGGCCACAGCCCAGCAGGATGGCCAGGACTGAGGAGAAGTCGCTGAGTACCTTGCGCACCTGGCCACACAGTGGACACTCAGTCAGGTTCACCCCTTCCCATTTACAGGCAGGGCCCAAGGCCCAGAGCTAGTCCTCTCCCACAGAAAGAGAGTTGACACTCACCACAGATGGGAAGAAGCGGCTTGTCTTGACATGCTTGAAGGCCATGGCAAAGAGGAAGGAGGTAAGGAAGAGGAGGAGGGAGAAGAAGGCGATGTCTGGAACTGTATGACAGCCAGGGCCACGAGGGCGGCCTCCCAGCCGGACACACTCAGGTGGGGGCAGCAGGGACGCATTGACCAGGCCCAGGTCCTATATGGAGTGGTGGTCAGAGGTGAGGTTATGGGCGGCAGGCAGCACAAGCATCTGCTGATGCCCCGTGAGACTCCGAGGGCCCAGGACAGGAGGCTCCCAGCTCTAGCCTAACCTCCTAGCTGGTTCCCCCGCCATAGCAAATGGCCGGGCCTCGGTGACCTGTGAGGGTTCCTCTAGCCTGTGGGATGGAAAGAGCCAGGAACCACTGCCTTCTTCCTCCCAGGAACAGGTCTCACCGTGCTTAAGATGTCGTCTCTGTCTTTTGGCTTTGTCCTTGTCCACTGAGACTCATTTCCTGGGAAGCAGAGAAGAATTTGGGTGTATGCCCTGCCCCTGGGGACCTTCTCCAGCCCCTCCAGAGCCTAATCTCATGGGTCCAGCAGAACCAGAAAGCTCTGGCTCATCTGTCTGCTGACTCCAAAAGCTACCATGTCTGCTCCTCAGGACACTGCCTGTGCCCTGGCTCCTTCAGATTCTCTACTTATCTCTTATCTCTGGTGCCCAGCACAGGACTGGCCAGAGCAGATGCCCATCAAATATTTGCTCAATGGAAGAGCATACAAATCTACCAGGGGCGGAACTGGTCTTATTCATGCCTGGTGCAGGGGCTGGCACTCTTGAGGGGACACCCCTTTGCCAGTCCTGCTGTTTCCTTCTTGTGGAGGGCTATGTGCAAGTATAATACCCTGAGCTTCTCTCCTCTAGGTCAGTCCCTCAGTCCAAGGGGAAGAGCAGCCATTTATGTGATTGGTGAGTTTGGGATTAAAAGCTGGGCATGCCTGCCCCACCTTTTCCTCCCCGGCTCTTGGGAGTAAGCTGCCTGCACGTGCATCCAACTGCTCCTCTGGAGCAAGACAGTCCCTTTTCCAGTGTGGCCGTGACCAAGTGGGTAAGTCTACCTAATTTGGGTTTTGTCGTTAGGAAGCTCATTCACCCATAGATATAACCATGTGCTTCTGTCAGCATTGTCAGAAATAAAGATGGCATTGGGCCTGCTCTGTGTCTTATTTTCTCCTGATTTAGAATCATAGTGGGGAGAGTGCTGCAGTTGGGTAAGTACTCAGAATTTTGCTGAATGTAGCCGGGGAGGGGGGCAGCAAGAAGTCACCTTCTCCCTCCTTATCATCCCTTGTCTTGCCAAGCTCCCTGTTTCCCTCACCCACCTCCAGGGTCTGGGTACTGGCAGAAGCAGCCATAGGCGGGAGAGCCAGGCCTCTGGATGGGATAGGCACGGGTCAAACTCAGCATTTTGCCCACGGCGTCGTAGATGAAGATGAGGCTGATGAGGGCACAGAAGCCTTCCTCGGTGAATCGAGTAAAGTAGCGCACCAGCACACTGGCCTCTGTGGCCACCAACACCAGGCAAAAGGTGGCCACCCAAATGCCCACCCATAGGCGGAAGGGCAGGTAGTCCAGGCTGTAATCTCTGAGGGGTGGGAGACAGGCAGGGCTTGGTGGGCCATTCTGCTCCCCACTTAACCCAGAGCCAGACAGTTCCACCCTCCCCTACTGACTCAGCCAGGACCAGGCTAGTGATGAGGGAGCCCCACCTGCTGAAGGAGAAGAGCAGGCGTTCAAAGACCAGCACTGGCCCCGTGCTGCTGAGGATGGTGAGGGGCTGGCCGGCCATCAGACAGAAGGCAGCGCCTGCCACCGCCGTGCCCAGGAAACTTTCCAGCACCCCCTAGGAGCCACCATAGGGCCTTGTCAGTTAGGACCCTGGAGTCCTCAACACAGGAACCCAAGCTTCCAGGGGCCTCCTCACCCACCCATAGTCCCAGGGAAGGATGAGGGCATGGCTGGAGGAACACCAAAGCTTGTGCTGTCCTCCTTCCACATCTCTACCCACCTGAGCACCATCGGTGGCTTCTCCCAGCAGCCCCCCAAAAGTGATGGCGTTAGTGATGGTGGCCAGGTAAATGTAGAGCACAGCTGAGAAGCACTGAGGGTGCAGGGCGTCCAAGAAGTCACTGGGGTACCACAGGGCCTTCCTCCGGACGTCCTGGACAAGGCCCCCAAACAGCCTCCCGCCCACTGGTCGTCAGTGATACCGGTTTCCACGCCCCATTACTGCCCTGAGCCCCTGTCACAGTGAGCACACCTCTGTGTTCCTGGGACTCCTTCCTCCTCCCCGTACACGGATCCTTACTCCTACCCCAGCTCGCCTCACCTGCCCATCCGCTGCAACTCCGGGCTGGGTGCCTGCGGCGCGTGGCTGTGCCTGTCCTCAGCTGGAGACCCATATCGCCGGGCAGAGGAGCCCTTGACCTCCTGCATTTGCAAGGGGAGCCTGAAGGGAAGGGGAACCCCAGGTGACTGAGGTTCTCCGACTAGCAGCAGACTGGGAGCCAACTTCATGGCGCCCTGCCCCCTGGTGGCTGCTCGTATCTCTGCGGGCAGACTCCAAATTCAAAAGTAAGTCCCTGTTCCTTTCCTGGAATCCCCTCCCCTTCTCAACAGTGGAACTGGACCCAAGACTGGGGAGATTACCCCAGATACCTTTTGTGTTGTGAGGGCAGACATTTAGGCGGGGGAATCCGGGCTGTTGGGTCCCACCGGCCTGGAGGGAGCACTGTCACCTCCTCTAGGAAGGCATCCAGGGCTGCCAGAAGGGCATCAAGGTTGCTGGCCTGTCGAACTGACCACTGGAATTGCTGGGGACAGGCACAGAGTGGCAGTAAATACATATCTGAGTTCTGACGTCCATTTCCACAGTCTCAAAGCTGGACACACGGGTCACAAAGCCGACTAGTCACTCAAACATGCGTCCATTAATGCATGCATTCAGTATCTACTGGGTGCCTATTGTGCCAGGTAAGGGGACTACAGTGGTAGCCAAGGAAACTTCAGTCCTCGTGCTCACACACAAAGCCACAGTCTGCCTCATTGCTGTACTCAATCCATAAAGACTACACACACATACACACACACACAGGCCTTCCCAGCTCACCGGGTCACTGAGCAGGACAGCCATCGCTCGGCCCATTTCATGGTAGCTCCTTCCCAGCATTGGGGGACCGAGGAGGAGGCAGAAAAATCTGAGGAAGGAACCAAGCCCCAGAGAGGGTTAGAGGCTGCTGTGCCATAGGGCAGTCCTGACCTCTGACCTCCCTACCAGTCCCTATGTGCACACCCACTTTGCTGTCCTGACCCCTAACCCCTCCCCAGACCCCTGAGCACCATCCCCCGCACACCTCAAGAGATCTGGACCAGAGATTTCGCAATCCCCTCCCCAGTAACCGGCCCTTCTCTGGGCTCCAGGATCCCTCACCCCCCACTCCGCAGCCTCACCTGCTGGGGAGGGGCACCTCAGTAATGGGCCCCAGCACCACTGGATCCCGCAGCCGCACAAAGGCCCCCAGTGGCTGTGCCAGGAAGCCCAGCTCTCCTGCCAGCACAGCCCCGGCCTCAGCCCCTGGAGGCAGCTTCTGTCTCAGGGAGTTCTGACGCTGATGGGGGTCCAGGGAGACACAGGATGAGAGGTTATTTGGGGAGGGGGATGTTGGCAGGATATTGGCTGATGAGTCCAGTGGAGGGTGGGCCCCTGTTGATCCCTGCCCCCTGCCCCAGCCCTGCCCAAGGAAGGGCGGCAAACCTGCTCCTTCAGGAGGGCTTCCTCACCGCGGGAAGCCTCTCTTGGATGGGCAGACCCTTTAAAAAAGGTTTTGCAGGGAGTTAGAGCACTGGCTTTGGGAAGGGACCCACCGGGGCTTCCTAACCAGCGTGGTCACTGACAAGCTCTGAAAATGAGCCATCCTTTCCCCCTCTGAGCTTCAGTTTTCTCATCGTGAAAATGGACATTATTGTGGTGCTTCCGAAAAGGTGCTTGTAAATATTAAACAAGAAGCTCTCTGCGCAGTGCTTACCAAGAACACCCTTTCACAAAGCTCTGGTTGTTATTCTAGCCTCTCCCTTCTCCCCTCTTGCCCATGAGTCCTGGGTGGAGGGTACAGGTGTAAGCTGAGGCTAGGCCACTCCTGGTCCAGAAAGGTGCAGGGGGATCTGGGACTCTCCCACCCTAGGATTTTTGGTTCTGGGCCAGGGATGGGCCTCTTACTCCAGCAGGGCCTGGTGCTTGTGGTCTGGATGAGGTGCTGGGGTCTCTGCAGCAACAGGGACTGCAGCTGCCCTCTCAGCTCCGGGCTCAGCGACTCCACTCTGGTCACCTGCTCTGGGAAACAGAAGTGGAGCTCCAACCTTTTCCTGAGAGCTCCCTGCCCCGAGTACTTCCCTGTCCCCTCTGCCAAGGTCACTTTCCCTCCTAGGAAATTCCTCAGGGAATGGAGGAGCCAGGGAACTTCTCCTTCACTCTGCTTTTCCATCTCCTCCTTGTACAGGGATGGATAATTTCTAAGGTGAGTGTGGTGGGCCCTGGAAAATTCCAATACTTTTGAGGGAAATCTTAGGGGAAAGGTGGCATGGCTACCAGGTCCTCCCTACAAAGGGTCCCAGCGTACCCACGAGCTCCAGGAGGCTCTGAGCTGGGCAGTCCAGCAGGACAAGGCCCTCCATGAGAAGGCTGCGGAGCTTCTGCAGGCTGGGCAGCGCCAGGGTGGGCACATGGGGGGCACTCCACCGGCCCCCACCCATCTCCAGCTTCTCTTCAAACAGCACCCACCTGCAGTGGAGAAGGGTGGACAGTGTTACTGGGGGCACCTCTCCAGGTCCAGATGGGGACCCAGGAGAGCCAAGGAAGGTAAATTCACGAGGGAGACGTGACCCCAGTGGTGCAGAGTAGGCCCTCTTTTCACAGTCACCTCTCATCTTGGTCTTGGGGAACTCAAAACTAGACTGCAGAGAAGGCAGAGCATCAGAGAGGGTGGGGACCTGACATGTGGGCAGAGAGGAACTTCTAATTAGGGGTAAGAATACCCCCTCCAGGAAGAGCTGGGATTAGGGAGGAGGCCCCAGCTGAGAAGGGGGAGGACCCCATCAAACTGGCCTGGGTTACACTCACCTGCCTGTCTCTCTCCACTCCAGCGCCTGGGGCCAGCCCAGCAGCTCATTCAGCTGAATGAAGAGCAGCGGGTCCTTGGATTCCTCAGTGTCTGAGGAGCCATCAGGGCTGGGGCCAGAGCCAGGGCCACTGTCCAGCTCTCCTGTGGACCCATTTTCATGAGCACTGTAGACCTCAGAGTCCTCCTGGCCTGGCAGCTTCATCTCGGTGAGGCTTGCGCAGCCTTTTGGGGTGAGTGCAGTCTGAGGTTCTGGGTCCAGGAGCCCCTGGACTGGCTGCATTTATAATGTACCCCACAAGCAACACAACACAAACAGAGCAAGGCCTGCTGACTCCAGAGCCAACCGGACTGCCTCCTCCCCTACTTGCTTTCCCTTTCCCTGACTGGCCTTCGAGTGTTTGCAAGGGTCGCCTGAACTCTCCCAGGCTCTCCAGAAATGTCCTAGCTGGGGCCAAAAGTATTGTGTGCATTTTTTGTGGGGTCACGTCTGACCTCACAGTATTTTGTGTAAATAAATAGGAGTGAATTGTTGGCCTGGGTCTGAGAATTGACAGGGCCAGATTATGCTGCTCCCTATTTTGTGTCAAATAAAAACACCAAATACTTAGGACTGTTTTGGTTGTCACCAACACACCCTGAGGGCACTCAATAGGACAAACAGATAACTAATAACTGGGCCTATAGAAGCCGGGCAGGGTACAGGAAACAGCATTAAGTGGGCTAATGGTGGAGAGTGGAAGCGTTGGAAGCTGCCCATGGCCTTCACTAGCAGAGAGGTGTGGACAAGGAGCCCAGGAAGCTGGTCAACCTTGAGGCTCTGGCAAGGGTCAGAGCCATACGCCCACATTCTTTTGTCAAACAACACCTGGATACGCTCCAATTTAACTGTGTCCTTGAGGTCTTCCCTGCGAACTGAAGCCCCCGGTGAGGATGGAAGTGCCAGCTAGGGTGTGTGTGTGCTTGAAGGCATTCCTGCAGCTGAATGAGCAAAAGGAGAATGTGGGATATTGGCAAGTCTTGTTGGCTCTACTTAGGCCTAGCATCCAACCACATTGCCCATCTCCAACACTACTACCCTGCCCCAAGCTGCTATCATTTCTCACCTGAATTTTTTAAATAGCTTTCTAATCTCTTGCAATAATCTCCCTGCTCCCACTCTTTCTTCCTTCCTTGCCCAAAGTGCATTTAAAAAATTTTTTAAAATATATTTTATTGATTTTGTACAGAGAGGAAGGGAGAGAGAGAGTTAGAAACATCGATGAGAGAGTCATTGATCAGCTGCCTCTTGCACACCCTCTACTGGAGATATGCCCACAACCAAGGTACTTGCCCTTGACCGGAATCGAACCTGGGACCCTTCAGTCCCCAAGCCGACGTTCTATCTATTGAGCCAAACCGGTTTCGGTCCAAAGTCCATTTTTTTAAAAAATATATATTTTTGTTGTTTTTTCTTCTTTTTTTATTGTTTAAAGTATTACATTAGTAGTACATATATCTCCTTTTTCCCCCCATTGACCTTCCCCCAGCCTCCCCTAACCCTTGTCGCATGTCCTCATCTCCCCTCTCCCCCAGTGTCTTGTGTCCATTGGTTGTGCTTATATGCAATGCATACAAGTCCTTTGGTGATCTAAAATATATTTTTATTGATTTCAGAGAGGAAGAGAGAGATAGAAACATCAATGATGAGAACAAATTATCAATTGGCTGCCTCTTGCACACACACCAACCCCCCCCCCCCCCCACTGTGGATTGAGCTCACAACCCAGGCATGTGCCCTTGAGCTCACAACCCAGGCATGTGCCCTTGACCGGAATCGAACCTGGGGCCCTTCAGTCCGCAGGCTGACACTCTATCCATTGAACCAAACCAGCTAGGGCCTAAAGTCCATTTTCTACACAACAGCCATAGGGGTCCTTTCAAAAGTCAATGTAGGCACATTAGTCTTGTGCTCAAAACTCACCCAATACATTCCCATTACTCCTAGAAGATTTAAAGTCTGTTGTGGCCTATAAGATCTATAGTCTGGCCCAGTCCACCTTCCTGACCATATCTCATACCACTCTCCCTTGCTCTGCTTTCCGGTCACACTGGCCTTTGTTTGTTTGTTTTTCAAAGCCTGAGGGCCTTTGCAGTTGCTCTTTTCTCTGCAAGGAAAGCTTTCTCACACACACACCCTTACATGACTGAATCCTTGTCATCTGAGTCTCATCTCAGATGGTATCCAAGGAAACTAAACTTTTCCATCCTGCCCTGAGTTTTCCTCTTGGGTCACTCTTCACATTTCTCTGTTTTATTTTCTTCCTAGCAGTTACCATTATAATAACTGCTCCCATTATTTACTTGTTTATCATTTATTGCATGCCCCTCAATGCACACACACTGGACTGTACCATCCACAGAGCAGGTATTTTATCTAGAATCCCTATCGCTACCCTTAGAGCACCTGTGGCTGGCCCTCAATAAATATTAGTTGTTCAATGAGTGCGTAGAAAGGGTGGGGCTGGGGAATGAGTTGCGTTTCTCTTGGAGGCCACACGATGGCGCTACTCCCCGTGGACCGGATCTTAGGGTCTCTGGTGGTGATGAGCAGGGGTGTGTGCCGAGAAGGTGAAAGGACAGGGAAGGGTCCTGGACCTCCAGGGATCCTGGCCCACAGCTGACTGGCCAGATGGGACGAGGTGTTGGGGGAGTACAACAGGGATGGGGAGAGAGAGCTGAGCAGGCACAACTGACTGTGGGTAAAGCCCCCACTAGATACCTGGGACCCATCTCCTCCCGGAAAAATGGGACTCACGTTAGCTCTCCCCACCAACCCCAGTCTGGACTTGGGAGAGATTTGCCCCAACTCCATGGAGCTCATAGGAGTGAGTCACTATGATTATTACCCGTTGGGGACAGCGTGCTGAGTCTGAGGTGGGAGCTGGTTTCAGTCTCAGGAGGAATAGAAACTGGCTTAGGGCCTGAGAGGGCCTGGAATTCTGTTACCACCCCCTTCAGGAATGTGCCCAAGCTCAGGGGCGACTCAAGGAAGTTTGAGGGGGTATTCACACCAAGCCCAGGAGCATGGGCTTGGTGTGAATACCCCCTCTCACACACACACACACACCCTCCCTTCCTACTCCCTACTCTTGCCAGAGTTGAGATGGTCTTTGCCCTCTCTGGCTCCCGAGAATGCCTGTGGGTAGAGGGCCACCATGCCTCCACTCTCCCCAGATCCCACTTCCACCTCATGGGCCCTGAGTGCCCTGAGATGGGGAGGTTGGTAAGGGATGCAAGGAGGAACCCAAAAGTCTGCCTGTGGGCACCAGCAGTCTCCCAGACAGGAAAGGTGTGCTGTGGGCAAGCAGACCTGGGTGTGGGCCCGGGAAAATACCCTGGCCCAGGAGTTTTAAGACTGGGGCCTTATCCTGGCTCAGTCACAGACTTATTGGGTATCCTTGAGCAAAGCTCTTCCTAAGTTTTCTTATCAGCAAAAGAGGAGTAATAAAAGTACTTACTTCATAGGCTTTATTGAATCAAATAATGCACATAAAATAGACCTTGAACATAGAGTGACGAAGAAAGAAAATATCATACACAGAAATGCCATTGTACCCAACCATTGTATTAGGATTACATATCTTATGTAATCCTTAGAACAGCTTTTAAAAAGCTTTTAATTCTTAAAACTTATTTAACTTATTTTTAAGACTATTTCTGTGAGTCTAATTATAGAAGAAGAAATATAGAAGTTGCAAAAAAAAAAAGTTCAGAGAAGTCTCCAGTTGGTACTTTTCATCCATCTTCCCCATCATACATAAAGATAGCACAATATCAAAGCCAGGAAAATGACATTGGCACAATTCTGTTAACTAGACTTCAGGTCTTATTCAGATTTCATGTGTTTCTACATGCACTCATTTGTGTGTATATATAGTTTTTTGAAATTTTATCACATGTATAGATCACTTACAAGAAGCTGGGCAAATTACTCAACCTCTTTAAGTCTTGGTGTTATCTATAAAATGGAGTGAAAATACTGTCTTCCTCAGAGGACTGTTGTGAGAATTAAATGAGATAATGTCTAAAATGTAGTAAGAGCACTTGATAAATTTAAATACTTATTTAGAAAAAGTGGGTTTTGAAAAGTGACTTAAAATACATAAATAATTCAGATTTGTTATAGAAAAATACAGAAAATGTCCATTAGAGTAAAAACAACATGAAATAAAATTTTCATAATGTCCTTACCCCCAAAATAACCACTGTTAAGAATTTCACCACAAATTTGAGGTAGATTTTACTATTCCCACTTTATTGTAAGAACACTGAGGCTCAGAAAGGTTAAGTAATTTGCCATAGTCACTGAGCTTATGAGTGAGGAACTGACTTTTTTTTCCCATTTTAAGATATAATTCACATTTCACACAATTCACCCATCTACACTAATAAAAAAGTAATATGCAAATTGACCACCACTTTATGATGCACACCAGCCAACCAGGAGTGAGTATACAAATTAACCAGACAAAGAAGGCAGCGGCCCTGCCCCCCAGCTGCTCTAGGTCTCTGGGCAGTATGCATGCAGGTGTGGAGTGCAGTACAGGGCAGGATGCCTGCTATGAGGGGGATGGTGGGAGCAGAGGGAGCTACAGGAGTGGCACTCAGCTGGATCAAAGACTGAAGGCAGCAGCCAGAGCAAAGGCTTGGGTCCCAGATTTGGGAGAAAAACCAGTGCCAGCATCTGGGGGAAGGAAGGTCTATTGCATGAATCTTCATGCAATGGGCCTCTAGTTTAGAATATAAAATTCAGTGGTTTAAGATATTATATATTAACAGTGTGTGCAACCATAATTGCAACCTAATTTTAGAACATTATAATCATATCCAAAACGACTCCATACTCATTAGCAGTCAATCCTCATTGCCTTCCATGACACCACTCATCTACTTTCCATATCTATAGATTTGATGCTTTGGGATCTTTCATATGAGTGAAATCATAAAATATGTGGACTTTTGTGACTGGCTTCTTTAGCATAACGTTTTCAAGGTTTATCCACGTAACGTGTGAGTACTTTATTCTTTTTTATTGCCAAATAACATTCCTTTGTATGGATTTACCACATTTTATTTATCCATTAGAGATTCTTCCCATTAATCTATTTTTGAGGGGCTGAGACTTAATGCACACTCTTGCCCCCAGACTCACCACTGGGGGCAACAGACAGGCCAAGGAGTAATAGGGACCCAGATGTACTGGGAGGAGCAGCCACTGCTGGCTTTGAGCTCTTGCTATGTTCTAAGCACTTCGCAGTTTTCTCAGTGAGTCTTCACAGTGGCTCTTCGAGGTAGTTATTGTTCCTGTTTCTGGAAACGGGGGGCTCAGAGAAGACTCCTGCCCAAGGTCAGAGCTAGGGGCCAGTCGACCCAGGGTCCAGAAAGGGGTTAGT